TTATGAAAAGATCAATTCAAAGGAGTTCATTCATGCTGCAAAACAGAACAAAAAAGAAGATATCGAAAACTACCTTTAAATCAACCCTTATTTGGTATTTGATTATGATTTTTACAACATGACCGCTCTACATTGGGCTTGTAAAAAGGGTTATCTTGAAATCGTAGAGATTTTACTAAAGTATCATTCCGATATTGATGGAGTTGATATCTTATATCGTACTCCATTGATGCTGTCGATTTAAGAAAATCATCTAGAAGTTGCACATCTGCTTTTGACTAATGGGGCATATCCTTGGAGTACAGCTATAACAGATTTGAAGAGTGTTCTGGAAGAAAATGAACGTGCTAAACTTCTCCTCACTAGAGTTCGAAGGGTAATCAATTAGTGTTATTATTTTATAGTTATAAATAATGGCCAAATGGACGCAATCAGGAGAATATTTGAATCTAATTTGACTATAAATATGAATTTAAAATTTATAATGAATAACTGGTTTATTAATTAATAAGTCACATGACATATTTTTGAATCATATGAGTTGATAGTGAATAATTATATATAAATATATTTAATAAAACTCAAACTTATCGAATGTATGCAGATTGTGAAGACTATCTGTCTTCTACATCAACCTAAGATGATTATGGAACATTGAATGTAAAATTGAAGACAGAATTCTGTAAATATTGGATTGAGGGGAAAATATGTCCATACGACAATAAAGTAAGAAAATAATATGAGATTCTTAGTGTTACTTTGCACATGGCGATGAGTAATTGTTGTCAAAAGACGTTCCCAAAAATTACAGAACTAAAGAATGTAAGAACTTCTAAGAAATTTGCTGTAAATATGGTCAGAGATGTTAATTTTCACATACATTGACCAAATATTAAATGCCTCAACTAAAGTATTGGACTTCAGTTGAGAAAATAGAAGTGGGCTCAATTAAAAAAAAGTATCTATATGTTTAGAATAATGTAGGCATCGCTTAAAGATATTTAAATCGATAACTAGTGGAGTTTATCATAAACAATAGAAACAATAATGATTTTATTCTTATCCCAATCATATTTAAATAACAAAATTACAATTATTTTATGAATAGTCATTCATTTGTTTTTTAAGAAATTAGTCATAAAATCCCAAATGATGTATTAATGATCAGATCCTTGTTTAAAACTCTCATAACAATCTTTGGCATAGACCTTCCTCAACGGGTTTTAAGAATTCCTAAAAATGTACAATAAGATTAAAGCATTGAATTCAGGATGAAATTGCACGCTCAAAATATGATCATTTTTATATGCATAATTTTAACAGTGATCCGTGCTCATGATAACTTCTGCATCCTACGGCAATTTTGCAACATAGTCTCCATGAATTTAATACACATTCAGATTTTCTATTACCTGATCTTTCCATTTAAATTAAGTAGATATAGCCTTCCTACCTACCTACATTCTATCTACATGAGTCATCTTTTACGCTTCTCCACCCAAACAATGAGCCAAGACTTAATGTCCAAAACATATTCCTAATATTCTGATTTTAAGTTTATCAGCTTCTCTTAAAAATTCAAATAATGGTTATTTCCAATCTTCACTCAAATCATAAGCTGCACTACTCGATCCTGTAATTACTATACCATCCAATCCCTATAAGTCTGGGAACTTATGTTCCATCACCTTGAAATTTAAATATTAGTCATACCAAATATACTTCCCAATTTTCGTCTTCTTCTTTATAAATCCCCAAATGCATTGCCTCCATTATGTTCACAAATTTGGTATAATAAAATGGTTCTGTTATCAATAATGCATATCGTTTTTTATTTTCTTTAGGTATATATTATTTAAGAATATCAGGAAGGATATCTGATTTAAATCCAAATGTAGCATTATAATTTATTTAAATCACTTTTTCTTATGTTGTTGATTTTAATATTACTCCTTAATTTATTATGCCCAAAATTTCTTTGAACTCTTTAGTGAGTAGAAGGTCTGCATAAAGTTCTATGGTTAGATCTTAATGAATTTATTATTATGAGATTTAAAATAGAAGGCGAGCAGCAGCAAAAAAGTCATTAGTATCAAAAGTTGGTGAATACTTAATTGAATAGAGATCCAAAGCTTCAGATTAATATATAAACTGATCATCTGATTTAATGATGAGGGTTACTACTTTTTGAAATTCCATATTATAATTATGAAATAATATAATAATGTGAATAATTAAATTTCATTAATGCATTAATTTACTTGATTTTGATTTGCTAATTTTATCAGTTGCTGCCTAGTATATCTTACTTTTGTTCTATCTATGAGAAAAATTGTATTATTAGAGAAACCACTTTTTTCGATTTTCAATGATTTCTTGATGCACTTTGAAATCTTTCATTTGTTAATTTAAGTTAACAAATATTTTATTTTCCAAACTAAGTAATCTTCTCATCATAATGTGTTATTCTAATATGATATCAGCTTTATTAGGCTATTTCCAAGGTTTCAATGCTTTCATAAAAAATAAATTTATTATTATATAATATAATCATTCTGGTATTACATTTACATGAATAAGACTATTGTCTTGAACTCCAAAATCATTCAAAGTCATATCTTTCCCATCCATATTGACAATTTCAGCATCGTCAGTTACCTAAAGTTTAATTATAAAATTATACTTATATCGATAAAGCTATTTATTTTATTGGTATGTTCACTAATTTTGAGATCATCAATTTCACTGGTTGTAAACCTGTGCTTCCCATCAATTTTTTCGGAGTAGGTTTATCCATTAATTTTCCAACATGATCAATAATCTTGATTGTACAATATTAAGGTTATTAGAGTTATTGTTTGGTTTAAGTGTACCCTCCTTTAACAGTTGGATCAATTTCATAAGGATTTCCAAATTTCTTTATTAGTTCTATAACTTTTGGATGATTTATCTTGGCATAATTGATAAAGTCATCATAATCATAATAATAATGTTTGACATTCTTTAATAAGAAGTATTCTTCAAAGGAAGATTTCAAGTAGAATATTTCGGAATCTTTTCTTTCGAATTTCGTGATTTCACTGCCATTAATAATTTGAACGCTAGCAACTTCTGCAATGGCTCTTTGCCTAACATATAGCTTTCCAAATTTATCAACTAATGGATTATGTTTAATTGAAAGAGAAGTTAATTATAGTTTTCCAATTTTATTCAAAAATTATGCCATAGCAAAGTGATTGTGATCCAAAGCTAAATGTTTAAGAGCTTTAAATTCAGTAACCATAGGTAAATCCTTTAGATTATTTTTATTTAAAATAAGTCTCTCTAAATTTGGTAAGTTTCCAAATGACTTTTAAACATTATCAAAATCTTATAATCCAGTTTGTTCCAAATTTAATACCTTTAAGTCCTATAAATCTGTATTCCTAAATTGCAAATTCTCATAATCAACTAAAGTATTCTTACACAATAATAACTCTTAAACCATTGGAAATGCAGGGATAATGAAGGAAATGTCCTTCCAATTCAATTACATGTCAATCAACACCAAAATTTCTACTTGTTTACCACAGCCATCTACAGGAATTTCTAAGTGTTTCCCTTATTCGTAATCATAAATCAAATAATCTGGTGTTTAAGTGAATATTTAATTTTGAATTTATTGTTATCCAAAAGTTTCAAGTGTTTATAATTTATTACTTGAGATAGACAATTCTTTTAATGTTGGCAATTGAGACACTAAAACAAAGATTTGATGCCAAGAATGGAACAAATTATTCTCTAAACCCAAAATTTTGATATTTTTAAATATACTTCCAACAAAACCAAATGGTCCAATCGTTGAAACATTTTAAGACTCCAAAGATAATTCTTACAAAGTTTCCAAATTATTAAGTTTCTTATAGATCTCATCGAATCCATAAAACTCAACCATTTTCTTTTTCTTTTTCATTGTTTCAAAAAAAGCAGTGTCATCAAATTCAATTTTCACTTATTTTTAATTGATAAGTGTAATAATTTAGCTTTTATCGTCCTAATTATTTCCTTAATCTTAATGCTCCTAAAGAAATTCATCTTTAATTTATTCTTAAACTTGCATTTCTTGCAATAGTATGGGAGGGATTTCCTTGAAATATTTCAGAAACAATGCTTCCCATAGTCTATTGCCGAAATTTACCTTCTCCTTCTTTAATAAGCTGCCAGAATTGGCTCCATCAGTTGTTTTGAAATAGGTATACCCCTAAACAGTCCCATTATGTCTCCCTCTATCACTTTAATCCCATTCTACACCCAACCATATTTCATCGCCTTTATTTTCATGCATTAATGGTCCTTCATATTTAATTGTTGCTTTTTCACCTTGATACACTATTCTCTTGTTCATATTTAAAATATTAATTATTATCTGGGTGTCCTCATTATAAACTGAAGCATTTTAATAAAAGAAAATAATTTTAACTGTTTAATTCTTATTTATAAATAAACTAATATATAGCTACTCTTAATAATTGGGTTAAAATAATACCTAAAATTTGATAGAAATCCATAGGTATCACCTTAATTTGAAAGTAGTGGTTTTTCTTTTGAGAGTTAAAGTTCTCCACAAAATATTATTAATTGAATAAGGTAAGCGTGAATATACCGAGAAACCAAATAGATTTTAATTAATTCTCATCTCCTCTATAATCACAAAGTTCAATCCATTAAATGCAGTTTGCAATAATCTCAAGTAGATAACAACAATATTTATTGGCTAAAGATTATATTGACAATAATAAGTTATTAAATTTATTAATTTAAAATAAAAATACATATAAGTATAAATGATATCCTCTTCTTTATTTTTTCATTAGATGATAGAATAAATATCATAAACAGAGAATAAGAATATTGAGTAATCCAAGCCTTAAATACTTAATCTTCTTTAAATTATAAAATATAGATATAATTATGTTTAGCAAAGTATATTAAATAGGTATGATATTTAATTTGTCAATATATCATAAAATCAAGGTATATGTAATGATGGACAATGTCAGATATATTGCATAGATCGATGAAATGTCTATCTGAATAGACAGATTGGGTGTTTTGTAAACTCCAGCGGAGCAGAAGTTGGTTGCATAATCAAAATAGCATTCTCCAGTTCTGGAATCACAGTCATCAGAGTTGATGACTTTATTGCAATGAATCATGCATGCATTATTGAGATTACTCCAAGAACATCGTGACAAAGAATTGCACGAGGCTGCATTTAACAGTTCACTACATTGTACAGAATGGCATTTATTGTTTTTCCATAGGCATATTCCTGTAGCTTCCATGCAAGTGCAAACATCAAGGATTTAATCGCAAGGGATGCATTTCTGATCGACCAATAAACATGTGTATCCATTATATTCATTACCATTGCACAAATCAGAAATGCCATATAATTCACAGACTTAGGAGGTACACATGACATCCTCTAAATAGAGATTATATTTCTGCAACAAACATGATGCTTGAGTACGAACAGTAGCACCATTGCACATATCTGATTCTAGGCTTTGACAACTATTGTTTTCAATGCACGAGCCATCAGAGAGTTGGAGACAATAATTACCTAATTTAGTGCAATCATCAAGCTAAAAGCAAGTCAAAGCTTGACAGACATTTAATTGATTATATTTACAACTGTTGTTGGAACAATCAGAATTGGGACAGTAATCCTAAAAGTTATTTTAGCTGAAACATCGCCTATTGGTACCTAAACAAGGGAATCCATCGAAGAATATGTCTTCACAATAGGAGTTATCGACATTGATGATATCTTCACATTTGCTTGCTGATTAACAATAAATTCGATTGCTGAGGTAACATTGTTTGCCTTCCATTGATCCTACACATTGTTTGGGTGATAGATCTTCACAATATTTACGTCTGCATACTTGAAGGAGTGTATCATAGAAACATGAGGAATTTGCTGAACAATCAGTACTTGTGAGATTGTGACAAATTTATGGAGACACAATGTACTAACATTAGCATTAAGTGTAATCATAATTGAAAGCACAAGAGGGATTGAGAAGACAGGCATTCTTGGACAATCCTGGCGAGGAACATTTCAAAGCTTAAATAACAGCCTTGCAGGATTGATTTAAGGAATCGTAGACACAGGATTAATTTAAAGATGCACAAGCCAATTGATTAACAAGTTTGGCTTGACTACAGGAATATGTGTTTGGGATTATTTAGCACTGATTTGACTTAAAAATACAAGGTTATCTAATGATTGAGGTGCAGAGTTCTTGACTGATTCCTGGAGTGTCACAATATATTGAATTGATGTTGTAGGTAGACACACACTGTGATGTAGATTGGTCATAGATACAAGGACCTAATGCTAATGCACAGGCTGAAGGGGAACTTTTATAAACAGAATCACATTAAAATCTAGTCACTTATTTGCATCCATTATTCCAATATGCTGGAATAGATAAGGAGATGCAGGCTATTAGGGACACTCCATCTAAATTTGATGGCAATTGATTTTGATTTACACTTACACATGTAAATGTCAGCTCATTATATTGACAAGCATGATTTTTGAGTAATTGACATGTCTTTTGATTGACATTCAAATAGGAGGAGCAATTATTAGATAGATTAGTTGTTTTTTCACATTTATTTTATGCAGTATTAAATGTACAAGGTTAAGCACTGATATTCATACAAGTAGACTTAGAAATAAATGGAGTTTCACAAACTTGGATATTGCGATCTACAACTTCATTTGGCATGAATACAAAACTTGTTTCTATACATTGTCTTTATCTCCATTGTTGTTTGAATTTGATACATGCTTTTAAATTGAGTTCAGAATATGTTATATTGATTTCATTATCACTTAAGGATTCACAAAATCCAGTCCATTTACATGCATATTTAGTAGATTACAGACAGGTTTCTCTGGTGGTATAAAAGTCACACTGTTCAGTCTCAACATCTTAATTAATTTCAGTACTTGCTAAGGTTTGGGAGGGAATATTAGTAAAATAGTAATCAGATATTTTGGGTGAGCAAGAATCGTCTTTGAATTCACAGAACTTCGGAGCGTATTGATCACAAACCTTCTTATTATATTTGATAGAATCATCGCAAGTAATTGTATTCAGATATGTGGCAAAGGAAGAGCACCCAGTAAGATCATGCCATTTACAATATAGACTACTTGTCATGCAGCCAATCTTATTGTATATTTAAATGCAAGCAAATAACTTAATGCTTGTACATATATCCAACATATATGGAATTTCATCAAGAGGAGTTGTCAATGATTACTATGCATGTAAGCATTCCGTTTTGATAATGCATTGTGAATTTTACCATTGACATGTTGACGTCGGACAAGTAGCCAAAGTCTTATATAATGGACACACCTACCAGTAGTCGAACTCTCCAATAAGAGAACATTCATTATTAGTAAACTAACAAACTTGATTTTACACTTTCCTGCAAGCCACTTTGTTGAATCCCTTCTTGCAGACCAAAGGGAGAATTTTCAACTCTTGACATGTATTAACATAGTAGCATTCCTTATTGGGTACATTCACACATTAAAGATAAGAAGTTGCATCTGAACATTCAACCAATGTAATATTTGAACATGTGTGAGTGCTGTCGTTCCATTGACACATTTCATCGTTCATAGCTTGACATGTTTTCTTGTTCACTTAAGCTGTGCAATTCTGATTATCTAATTATGCATTTTGACATTGATTATCCTACCAAATGCAATATCCAGTTGTCTATTCTATGCATGCTTTCCTATTCAAACCTAATCCTGAACAGATCTCCACTGTGTAATTGAATTCAACACAGCCTTATTGTCCTACTTTTGCCATACAAGCCTTTGTGCTTTCTCCCTTGCTGCACAAACTAAGAGAGTTATAAGGAGCTGATGCTTTAACATAAGGTGTAGGTGGAAAGTCATCGCTTGTTATTGGTGTTGTGGGAGAAATTGATGCACAACTGGAGCTCTCAGTAGAAGCCAGACAAAAGTTTGTATCATCCCATTTGCATATTAAGTCATTCTTTTCAACTTTCATACAGGCATATTTATTTAATTTTGTGCAATCATTTACATTAGTAAAGTCATTAATTTATTAACATCTTTGATTTATCCAAGCACACATCAATGTCAAATAACTACTAGTACTTTTAATGCAAGCATTGAAATTCAAATTTTCACATCCAATCATTTCTGTTGCAATTAATAATTTACACTCGTATTCATACATGTCATATCTATAAACATCCCCTACTAATTGAGTACATCCAAATTGATTCAATTTTGAATTGAATGTTAAAGCAGCTGTTGTGCAACCTGAACTATCGGTGCTTGGACTTGCCACAATACATGGTGTTTATGCTCTTAATGCACATCCAATATTTGTATTGAAATCAGAACACAAATTCACTTCAGTTACCAATTTACAAAACATTTATTCCTCGGAATAGAAACATTTAGAACCATCATTCGAACTGACTTTTTAGCAACCAAAGTAATTTATTTTTTTCTTTTAAATATCACTGCATATTTAGGTAGTGATTGTTTGGCATGTTGTTCCATCCCAAAAGCATTAAAGGCTTTGATCTATATCCTAGACGCAGAGAGTCTCTGATAACTTTGTGCAATCTATGGTTTAGGTTTTGTCAAAGCAGTAATAACCGAATTTGAAATCACAATTTTCGAATTTCTAACACAGTATTTTACTATATTATTGTAAATGAGGACAAGATGAAGGTGGAGTCGATGGGGCAGAACAAAGGTTGCTCGAATATTAACATTGCACTTTCCATTGATTCAAACAATCAAATTGATTTTTATAAGTTGAACAATTAACAGCATAGGTGACTATATTATTTTAAACATCCATCAGCATTGTTAGGTCAATACATTTAAAAGTTGACGGATCGTATTTACAATTTGGATATTGTCTACAGAACTTCTTATTAGTGTAGCTATACTTGTCACATTTCGTTAGTAAATTTTGAGTGTAACACTAACTGTTTGAATACACACAATTGTAATACAAATTGGAAACACAATCCTGGAGAGTTGTTTCGAATTCACACTTATTTGTCGATATATTCTAACAACGACTATTCCTGAATTAGCATATCATATCAGAATGCAAACACACATATTAACTAACCCCTGGAGAATCACATTTAGTAATTGGAGTCTCTGTATCCAATAGTAAAATACACGCCTTCTATCTACCATAGCATTTTTATAAGGAACTGCAAAAAGTCCATGATTAGGTGTCATATTTGAATTAATCGCATGATTAATTGGTTTGCTGTAGATCACATACTTGGGTAACGTATTCATCCGATGTGATACTTCCCATATCAAAACTCAATGAGTATCCAGCCAGCAAGGAACAAGAAGATCTTGAATTAAGACAGCCCTATTTATTGAGAGTGGAGCAAGTAGACGAATATTCAGGGGCCTGAACACAAACGTTATTGATATAAGCACATTTGCCATAAGTGGTAGTCACACAAATTGAGGGACTGATTCCAAGCTAATCACAAGAATAATAGTTTTTTGGGTTGTCATCATCCACTAAACATTTAGTGTATAATTCACCTGGGGAAGTTGAAGGCTTACACCTTTCAATCACGCCATAACGTATGAGCACTGAACAAGATTGGGGATTGTAGGATTTGTGTTTATAATATGGTTTTTCCACAAAATCAAAATCTGAGCAGCTTATATTAAAGATATTGACTTCAGCACATCTTTAATCACTATAGCCAGCCCATGTTTACTTAACCCATTAGCATATTCGTCCTCTAACGAATCTACATAGAGATTTATTGGCCTACTCACACTGAATAGTGTCTAATTTATCATCCCAATATTTGTGATTCAAATTTACTTCATTGCATTTGTAATCCTAGAAAAGACAAAACTTTCCAGTTGTAAAAGCACTGCACCTTTGTCTATTGAGATTCAAACTAGTCCCACAATCATTAACAATATCTGTTATTTGAGATTTACATTCCTTCGTAACATCATTGTATTCACAATAAAACTGGTCATCCAAATAAGCAGACGTCTCTGCTTCAATCCCAATACAAGCCCATTTATTCAAAACAAAAGTCGATGTACTCAAACAATTAACACTTTTATTAATTGAAATACATTGATCAGATTGCCAAATACATTCCTGGCCTGGAGTTGTTATTGCCTGACAAGCTTGCTGAGTTAAATAATACCCTGTGCATGTGAGTTATTAATTTGTAAAGCTTTGACATTTATTATTAAAAAAGTAGCACTTATCTTTGCTATATTGGCAGGCAAAACGATTATACGTATCTGAACAATTAGTTGGCTATACATCAACTAAAAAGCAATTTCCATTTGAATATTAACACAGCTGAGTTTCCAAAGAAGTACAAACTAACTTACTGACATTTCTATATGATGTACACAATTCTCTAAATTAAGTAACCTAATTGCATTGTCCTCCAATCCATTAACATGGATAATCGTTTAATGCTAAACATTTGGCCTTTGCCAAACCTGGAGTATTGCAATTTTAATTTGTTTACTAAGCTTTACAACTCTCACTTGCTTAATCATATAAACAATCCGAAAACAAACTGCAGGCATCAGCTGAAACACTCACCATTTCCTCACAGCTTTATTTGACTTGATACTATGAACATCGTTAATATAATATATCCCAATGACAATTAGTTGTAGTTAAACACATTTGCTTAGTAAATTCGCTCGGATCTTCAGTAGCACAACTGCCACTTGTTGTATAAATTGGACATTTAAAATTCTAATATCGATGCTTTCCCTTGTAATTCATGCAAAGATTCCGATTTACAATATATTTAGAAGGGTAGGCTGTAAACACCTTCAGAGCAGGAACACTCAAAACATTTAAGCATTTTTCATCCTCGTCAATCCATATACACTCCTAACCCATGGTCCGAATACTTCCACATAAAAACTTAGAAAGGGCATCATTGCATTCTATTATGTTTAATTAATAATCGTAAATTAGTTTGCACTAGTTTAAATCCACATCCCATTAGCAAGGCTAAGCCATATATATACAATAATAACGATTCACTCCTGGCTGATTGCATCCAAACTTAGGAATACAACCATAAAAATCAGGTTGTCCATCTATCCACTAACAAAGATTAGTATCACAATTGTCCTGCTCTTTACTTACACAGCTTGAACTACAAATGGAGGGGATCTAGGATATATCCAAATAGCTTCCTTAATTTGCATCAGTCACTGAAGCACAATCCCTGTAAGTCTTATATTGTTGTGTTTGAGATAAGCAACCCTAAGCTTCTTGTAGTTTCAGTTCTGAAAATGTACATGTTACTTCTTGTTCGTTATTTCCATCCAACATAATGGGATAGCACTCTGCTTCTACGTATTGACATTAGTTCAAATTTAGTTGATCACAATATATCTTATTGGCTAATAAGAAATTTTTGTCTTTCAGATCTAATTCGGTGTTTAAATACAAGCATTTATAATTAGTAAAAATCCCTCCTTGATATCTACAATAAATATGATTAATTCCAATCGTCTCTATCCTTGTTGAAAAGATCTACAAATAATCGCTATCGTCTGCAATCTACAACGCAATGCATCCCTCCCTCGTTCTATCACTTATTTTTACTAAAGAAGTTTAAGGAATTTATTATTACAATTGTTTAGAGCATACGATTAGGCATCATTAAAATGATACCACTAAAAATAGGTGGCTTAATTGCCATCGTTACATTTATTATACAGTTTATTGTTGGCCAATACTCCACTATCATATTCCTTGTCTGAGCTCTGTCTCTCCAAACCTAAATCCTATCTGTAAATATCTTAGGCTTCGGATGCAAAATCTGGCGTGTAAGAAATAAGTGGCCAAATCAAAGAACTGTGAATTATTAAGTAATCTAAATAAGTGACTATTTTTACTTTTTATCCTTCCACACACAGAAGCACTATAAAGAACATTCTCAAAATCTTCCTAATATGTTTACTCTTTTATTTCATTACAAGTGTAAGTCTTTGAATCCCAATAACAAAGTTAATTGATATTCTAAATGCTCAGACAAGAGTGTTTAGTAATTGTATCAGTGCATGCCAATTAAGTTAAATCATACACCTGATAACACGCCTTCGTAAAAATACCTGTGGGATTTATAAAAACAATTACATTTTGCTATTTAGCCAGATGGATAAGCTAATTATTTTATACATGCCATTTTATTCAGTAAGTTAGAACAGCCAAGTTCTAAATTTTTTGTGTATTGACAATACCCAGAATCCCACACACCTATTAATTCCTTTATTTTTATATACACTGACTATCTGCGCTCTAAATGCAATCCAACTAAGTTCTAAATTCAAGACATTTATCTATAGAATAAACTGAAGAAATGGATAACCATAGAAGAATAAATATCATGGAGCAAAATAGATAATAATTAAATATTAATCATAAGTATTCATGAATCTTTAATTATCCATATATAAATAAGTCCAAATAAACCACTATTACAATAAAATCATAATCAAATATTGATCATATAATTGCGATAATAAACAAACAAAATCCATCATTTAGCTTATCTCTTCTAATATATAAAGTATTTTTTACCTAATGAAAAATTAATAAAATACTATGATTTTACAAGCATATCGCTCCTTCTACATTTTCACATAAAACTTAAAATGCAGATTATTAGCTGCATCTAAACTTTCATGAATTATACACATTATAGAATATAAGGTTGAATCCTTATTATATAGAGATCTGGAATAAAATTTCATTTTTATATGGTTTAAGGATAAGGAAGGCTCAGAAATTAATGGAATGTAGTTTTTGCCAACTGAATTACTTTATTTTGTTTCCGTTTTATTAGTCTTATTAGTCCATCATCTTCAGCGTTAATTTATCTATTAATATTTATTATTATTTTAAATAAACAATCTCAAATTCGAAATTAGTCAAATATAAAAGACTTTATTTATTTGTATTACAAAAATGAAGAATCAAATATCATATAAAAATGGATAGTATTTCATTATAAATGCTTTCTTATTGTGTTATCAATCGATTTAGGCTTTTATTCAAACAAGTGTTTTTTTTATGACATACTTTATGACTAATTAAATTATTTCCTCTCTGGAGTTGGAGTTGAGTTATAATTTTAATTATTCTAAATTTCATCAATTACTGACTTTAGTCTCTAGATTTCCTTTTAATAATTAATGTTATCTCTTTCCATATCCTCCATTCTCTTACTATTCTTTGTCTTAATAAATCCTGCCTTTGGTTGCTCATAGAGTCCTTGATCAGGCTAAAAATAAATATATATAGTATAAATACCTATCTCCTTAACAAAATGACTTCTTATTCATATTACTAACATACTGTTTTTAATCTTTCGGTTGCCTGGTGATTTTCTTCTATTTATGAAATCATTTATTAATGATGATCTCTAAGTGAAACATTTTCTTTCTAAAGTTATATAACTATTTCATGTAAATCAGCATTTTCTCCTCTAACTCTTTCCAATTCTCCATTTAATTATGAATTTGTCTATTTGAATATTTCATACTCTTATAAATCAGCTGCTGTATCAGTTTTGTGTTACTCCAACTTTTCTTCCAGCTTCAACATCATCTGATTCATTTTGTCTTTTTCCAAATCATTAGCTTCTTTTTACTTGGCTTCCTACAATTTTAATTTCTAAATTTCTTTTTATAGCTCATCCTGTATATACTATTACTTCTAAAGATTGGCTTATAGATCTTTGATGGTGAATTCGAATTCTTATTGTTATTGTTCGTGTTATTACTTATTCGATTATTGATCATTTAATAGATTCTTATTTTGTTGAGAAACCTTCTCTAATTATTCACTTAATTGCTTAATGAGATCATTCTATTATTCCATCCTTCTTTGTTATAGGGCAGCCTCTTATTTTCGAGATTATAATTCTACAAAGGCTGACCTACTTGATTTATCCAAATCTTCATATTCTTAATCTCTCTGAATAATTTATTACTACAATTAAGATTACAAATGATCAAGTTTCTTTCCTGAATTCATTTTCTCTTATTCAAGTTATTCAACATATTTTTAAGTATCTGCTGACAATCTCTCATTCTCCTTTCTCAATATCTAAAGTTATCTTTAAAAATTGTTAAATTCATTTTAACATTTTTCAGCTACTCCCTCCTTCTCTGATAATTCAGCTTACAATTTCTTAACCTGTTCAATATTTTATTAATTTAATTATTTCAAATGCTCTATCTTCTTTTTCTGTCGTTCAATTTCACTCTCCTTTTATTAAAGAGTATCAGACAACTGATTACGATCAGTTTATAATTGCTCATTGGTATGCAAAATTGAATCATTCTCTAAGATTAATTAATCCATTTGTCTTTGTTATTTATTTGATGATTCCAATTATGCCTTGTCCACTTAAATTCTAGAAATATCAAATCTAAGTGACTAACACTAATCCTATTGAGTTTACAATTCCTATCTTAATTGATTTAACTCACTCTCCTATTATTGATAATGCACTGATAGTTCTTGATGATCCTGACTCAACTGTTGATTCTATAGTCCTAATTACTTTATTTGCTTCTTCTGTTCATTAATCGTTTGCTTAGCTGTCTATAACTATTGAGTAACTTCCTTATATTGATGTCCCAAATCCTATTGAGTGTTATTCAACTCCTATTCCAACTCTGATTTTTCCAGATACACTTTCTCCAACTCTGATTGCTACTGCAGACTCTACTTCTTTAATTTGTCATACTCCAATTAAGCCTTTTATTAATAGCTATTCATTTTGCTATTAAATTAGGATACAGAATTCTCCTTAAATTCCCCATATTCCTTTTATAGAATTGCATAATTAGTCTCCAATTGCTCTCTTAATTCAACTTGCGCTGAATGTTCTGACTCTATTTGACTGATTTAGATTTTAGCCTAATTAAGACTCTTTTGAGTTTCTTCCAACTAGGCTTTCATCAAATCTTTCTATTTGCGTATTTTATCGATTTCAGAGTTGAAATTAGCTTCCTTTTGTTTTAATTGATTCAATTAAATCTCAAATTCCACCTTCGATGTTTTTTCCAATAAAGCAGATTAATTCAACTCAATGAGTTCTTACTACTTCTATTCTAGTTGTTCTTCATACTCCTTGATTAAATCATCCTTCTCCTATTCAAATTTATGTGAGATATTTTAGTTTTCTTATTCAAGTCTTTCTATAATTTAATTAGATTCTTCTAATTACTTTTCTAAAATGTTTTATTTGCGCAAATGTTCTTATAATTTTTAATCTTGTAATTTATTCTAAGAATCAGTGCCACGCTATAACTTTTGAAGTTGCAACTATAAATCCTTATTACCTGATATCTGTTTCTGTAATTCTTAGTTTTAATTTTATAAATCTTATTTATATTTAGCGATCTATTCCTATTATTTCCTCTAATCCTATTACAAATTATCTACCATTAACTTATGTTCCTGAAGTTATTAATTCAAAAGATTAATCTATGATCTCAATTCATCCTCTAAATGTCTTGCCTATAGTAATTCATCATTCAATTAATAAATTTGCACTTAGAATTATTCCACAGTACTCGACTACTTCCTATGAGTATTACGTTATTATTCTGGGGTTGGAATTTGTTATTTATAAGAGGGTTATCTTGAATGATCTTATCGTTAACCTCCTCTTAATTCAATTACAGCTTCTTCTTGATTAGGAGAGATTGACTTTCTTTAAACATCACCTTATTTATATGATTATTATCTTTAGTTTTATCTAATTGAATTAGGTTAATCTTATTATGATTATTCAAATGTTGGAGATATGGATTTTCTTTGAGATTGTTCAGGTTATTTATATGATTATTGTCTCTAGCTATCTTTCCTAATAGCTCTTTGATCTTAGGCATTTCCCTCTACTTCATATGGTATGATATTTTGTCTTTGATAATCTTATTGTACATAGGATTATCGCTTAGAATGCTAGACGGATTCCAAAGGCTAACCATAAGCATAATCATTTTTAATAGGTGAAATTTATTTCTGATCCTTATCCTAAAATGCTGAGGAATGCTTTCTAAGGTGCTCCTAAGCAGGCTGATTCCTGGATTAATAATTAGTGTATTCAGGAACTTCATATTATATTTAATTTTATGATGGGGGCTTCTTTATGCTCTTTTAACTACCTCTTATAATTTAACCTGACTATTGTGGTTGTTGACCAAATAGCTCTATTTATTGATTGGGATTAGAAATATATTACTGTTGATAATCTATATTTTAGAAGGATTGATTTTAAGATGATTATGATTCTATGACTTCTTTTAGCTAATTTATTTGATTTTGCATTGATTGTTTCTCACTTGCATACTGTTATTCGAGCAGCTATTTCTCGTACATAATTTATTCAGCCTTTCTATCACTAGCTCTTGACATACTGCGACTCTGACTTTTTATTCTCATATCCGTTAATGCTTCCTCCTTCAAATCTAGGACTTTCTTCAATCTAAGACTATGGATAATAAGAGTACTTTGTGATTTCCTTTTTAGCAGTAAGTAATTCCCCTTTATATTTAGAAGCATGTTCTGTCTTCTCACGAACCAACTGCAACAATTTTTCATTTTCCTCAAGTAGCTTTTCAACCTTCCCCTTAGTTGGAGATTGGCTTTCTAGATTTTGCACTCTGGATTCCAATTGTTTCAATTTCTATTCACTTTGTTATTTTAAAGGTGAATCTGTGTGAAATACTTGTGAATGATGTATGTTAACGACTAAGAAAATGGGTAGAATTTCGTACCTCTATCGACCATCACTGGTGTTGCCATTACTGGCAAAGGAACTGGAGGCAAAGATCTTGAGATTTATAATGGCGCAACTGTAACTCTCATTTAACAGAAATGTTATAATAATAATCACTCATACTCCAAACTTAAATCAAATATATGTTCCTAATTGATTACACTCTTTACTCCAAAATACAATGCAAAACCAAAGTAAGAATAAGCTAAGCCTCTAAATTATATAACAATTCACTACTTCTTGAGCTTTGGAAATGTTATTAGTCTATCTTCGAAATAGTAATCCATAAATGGAGATTGTAATTTCAGAAGAAAATATCTCAAACCAATGGTACTAACGATTGCCAAGAGCACATTTGTATTTAAATCCATTAATCTGCATAGAATAATTCGATAATCAATGGGGTTTTGAATCTTATCTTTATTGAAAATGCTCCACATCATAAATTTTAAGGCTTTCCATTATCGATATTACTATTACTCTCTCACAGTCATTAATTCAAATTCTTAAGGAATATGAGAACCAATCTTTTTATATTTTCCATCTGAATAGTGATATTTGTAAATTATGAAAGTCTCAGGATTTGTCACATAAAGAAATGGTTTTTAAATCATTCTAATTATTATTATAATCAAATTCTAGTTTTTGGATAGGCACTTTAGATTCTTTTTTTGCCTGTAACATTCAAAGTTTGCTATTATTCTCTAAACGATTAATCCAGTGACATTTTCAATTGACTCAACTAATAAATTCATAGATCAAACATTCTTACATCCTCTTAATGTCTGACTTCTTCTATCACCTTCAAATGGTCATTCAATCTACTTGTTGATTGGATCTTACTAATCATAGCAGTCTATGGTCGTTTAGCCTGTACATGCTGCTATTACTCATTAAATAATATTTCTCCTGGGTTTATGAAAGGTCTGAATTCAATATTTTGAGTAGCAGCTGCACTGTGGATTCTTTTTAATCCTTTTGGTAGAAACCCAGGAGGAACTCTGCTGCCTTTCAAACCCACAGCTGGGGTTAGGTACTACGGATACCCCACATTTATTTGAACTTCTTCATTTTAGTTCTCGTTGTTATCTACTAATTTTTCAAACAGTTAATTTCTGAAATCAGCATATTACTAAAGCAAATGTTCTGAGATTCCTTTCTCAGAATAATTTTTAGTTGAAGAAACAGGTCTCATGGTTGAAAATGCAGAAGTCGGTCTATGTTTACAAAGAGAGGTTGAGACAGCCATGTTGTATGACCTCCCTTCTACTGATAATAAATTCTCTGGCTCATCCATTACTACCTATCTTACAGACTATGATTTCTTGGGTTTTGGGTGGAATGTGTTCCCCTTCTTGGTCCTTAGTAATGCAGCTTCGTCTATATCTAGATTCTGAGACATGATAAATCGGACAGCTCCTTCATTTGCTAACATACAAATATCATTCTCATTCACACATTATTTGGCCTTATCTGCAATCTAATAATACAATTCTATGATACAGCCAAACATATATCAAGCTCCTCTTTTTATTTTTTCACTTTCAAAAGAGCAGAATGCAACGCAGTTGTATTAATTTTTTATTTCGGTTTGATACGAAACCTCTCTTCTTTTGGTTCTTTCTTTCCCGATACTAATTTTTGAAAGATCTCTTGTGAATTCATATTAAGAATCGATTTTGTTTGTTTACTTTTTTTCTAGTAACCCTTTAAAAATATGATTATACTTTGTCAGGACGATCATATCGAAACCTCTTTTTGTATTGTCCTTCATCCATCTTTTCGTCAATATAGTTGATCATTTCGTCTGGGAAATCATGTCGAACTACAATTGGGCATCTTGAAATTGCCAAAGTACTCATTTATTTTTAATTAAAATTATTTTACTTAACTTTATTTTATCAATTCATTTATCAAATCACTTCAAATTTACTATTGCCTATACCAACCACACGTAACCTTACATCATAATACCTAATTATCAACTTAGGGATACTATTATGAAATATATTATTTATTAAGTTTTAGTTAAATTTATGCACTTATTTATTTCCTCATCAATTTCAGAACTTGAAAAATCCTAATATATTATATTCTCATTATTTTGTTAAACAATTTTTTTTCCATTTATTAAATTTAATTGAAATCTTTGTGTTGTGAATTATTATCAGATTGTAGTGCATTCATTAACTTATAACCAAAATATTTAAACAAGATTAAACTAGTTCATATTAATAATAAGCAATCATAATTTATATTATATAATTAGGATTTCCAATTCTTACTTATTTCTGAAATTCAGGGCACTCAAATATCAAATGATTTTCCAATAATTTTTATAGAACCTTTTAAATAAATCTATTGTTGCTTTAGATTGGAAGTTTATTCTACTTTACCTAGCATATGCTAAGAATACTGGTAACATTTTATATTATAAAAGATAATTTTAGCAATTTAGAATGAGTTTGTTGTTTCATTACCATAAATTTAATGGGGAATTTAAAATTCTTCAATAATTGCTTCGATTTGAATCTTGAGTTTGGGTAATATCATTGAAATTGAAAGACTAATCATTTAAAAGTTTATTAAGTGATAATATTATTATTTATTTTATATAAAGGGAAAGGTCCAATGATCGAAGAGTAAAATAACTCAAAGCTTCTAAGCTTGGGTTAAAATATAAATAAATTAATTGTTAATTGATAAAAAGGATAGATTGGCAGGTGCTTTTGTTATGCGATTTTATAAATATAAATAAAATATTATTATATATTATAATGTTCTGTTGCGGTTCAAAAAAGAAGAAATCGAAGTAGTTTTTTGGAATTTTAGGAAGAGTGCCAAGCCAGAAGAGCCATCCACGAATTCCGACACGCATTCTCTAAAAAAGGAAGAAGAATCCCAAAAAGCTTATGTTCCACCACCTGCCCCTGTAAAACAAATTGGCTAAGTTTTTATAAAAATTAACTCAAATTAGGAAATGCTGAGGCAGATGTAATAGATTAAAGACTTACGTGAACAAGGTTAATTTGACAAAAGGTATTTAAATCCTAAGTTCTTAGTGTTTAATATGAACAAAGTTACATCACCTAGTTGATAAACAGAGAAAATATACAACAGTAGTATGCGCTCGAATTTACATGGGCAGTTAATTATACAAATCATTTAAAAGGAAAAGCTGGGATTGGATAAATAAATAACTCTAAACTTGTAGGACCTAATTAACAATTGAGAATCGGATTGAAATAAGATGTAGACTATGTAGCCCTAAATGAATAAGCTTGGGTCTTCGTATAGTAGATGTATGGAGGAGGTCCAGAAGTGAAAATCATGCCTCCTCCTAAACCCGAATCTTAAGCATAACCTAATAACACTTAATACAAGCCACCAAGACCATCATAATCCAGTATTAATAACACTCAATCTAAGCCACCAATACAATAATCAACCATGAGATAAACATAAACCAATTCAAGATTCATTCAATAAAATCCTATGGCCTAGACAATTTCAATCATGGCGACTCCAAAATCTGTCGATAGACAAATATCACAGATTGTATAACCTCAACCAAGAAATGATAGTGTTCAAAATTCTAGAAAAGTACATCAAGAATAAAAAATAACTTACACCTCTTAAGGCTAACTTCCAATTATTGGATTGGCAAATCCTAGATATTATTGTTATTTGAATTCAGCCCTACAAGTTCTCTTGAGCATTGACTCTCTTACTGAAGGTATTTTAGCAATTCAACCAAAATACGGACAGAAATTCTTAACTGCGTATTAAGAATTATTAAGATCAGTACTATATTTATTGTCATTATTTAAGGTTAAAAAAACAGGCTCTTATTCTTCAATAGCAGCAAAGAGTGTTTGGGATGCATGTTCTGGAAAATTCCAATTTAATTAATAATAAGACAGTCATGAATTTCTTTTGTTTTTTTTGGGGAAAATTCAAGAGGAACTAGTGGGCAAATACAAAAATAAATAAGAATTCAACTCAGCCGAATAAGCTTGGAGTGATTATACATCCAAAAATCAAGATATTATTGATTTAATTTTTGCAGGGTAATCTACAAGTTAATCTTATTGTAAATCTTGTAATTAAGTTTGTGAAGGGTATGATCCAATCTGGGATTTATCTTTGCCAATTAAGTAATAGTATTAAGAGTATTCCTAGTAAGTCATACACTGGAATTGATTTGATGGACTGTTTAAAATCTTACTATAGAGAGGAAGTAATAAACGACACTTGGAAGTGTGACAAGTGCAAGAAATCAAATAAATCAGTGAAAAGAAGGATGTTTATTAGTTAGACTCCAAAATACTTGATTATTTAATTCAAAAGGTTCACTACTTTTCCAACCTCTCAAAAGATTAATGATTCAATTTCGTACCCTGAAAAGTTGGACATTTAAGAGTAATGTGCTAATATTCATTCTAGATTCTGCTCCAAAGGGTTGCAAACTCAATATAAACTAAAAGCTCTTATAACTCATATGGGTTAGATTAATGGTGGACATTATAAGGCCTACGCTGAAAGATATGATAATTGGTATTTATTTGATGATGAAAATGTATCAAAGATAAATGGGAAATAATTATCTGATAGATCAGCCTATGTATTGCTTTATGAGAAATATTGATATTTAATTCATTTGCTTTTTAATACGATTGGAGATCTATATAAACTATTTATCTTAGTATCTAATTGTCAATACTTAAATTTTCTAAGTTAATAAATACATAATCCCAATTAATAATAGAAATTCTAATTTATAATAAAATAATCCTCTAAATAAATAGAATAAACTATAAATAACTCATTTAAACGTTTTGTATGCTTTCAATCTTTTGTCATTGATGTCGATTGCCTCTTTTAATAACTTAATTAAAAAGTCATTTTTTGTCTTAGTAAGTGCCTCTTTAGATAATTGCTGATAAGCTTCCAGATTTTCACCTATTGGATACAGATTATTGAAGAATGCCTTAGCATATTCAGATTCCTTTGTCTCAAAAATTTAAACGATAACTTCAAAAAATCTTACCTCATACTTTGCCAATTAATCTATAAATTTCTCATGATTAAATGCTCTCATTACTTAAGAGACTTATTAAACGCTCTCGTTCTTATCAAAACTCATGAAATATGACCATAGCTAATCTCTATCCACACTCAAAGATTCTAAGAACCTTTTATGTTTCTTATGGTCTGCATCCTTAAGAGCCAATTTATCATAGAGATTCCATTGAACTTTATTATATAAAAACTAATTATAAATATAAGTCCAACCATCTTTCACTCCAATCTCATCAATATTAATAGATGACAATCTCTCAATTGTTCTAGACCAACTGATGTAATGAGATCTCAAGGTTAGCAATTTGCTCTATTCTTAAGTGCAATCAATCAATTATTTAACTGTAGATGCTAAGTTTTCTCTTACTTTTGCCCTATATCTATAGGGTGTATAATTGTTAACGCCTGCAGCACACCAATTCAATATAATTTTTATGACTGTGTCATCTGTCTCATGTAGGAGAAAGTTAGAAACTCCTTATTAGAAATCTAAAAAGCAAGTTTGTCCATCCCTAACTTAATCAAAGATAGATTGAAGAACCAATAACCGATTCAAACTATTTTCAATAGTTGATAAATTTTGTAAGATTTATTAGGTTTATTCTTTATTATAACTTACTTTGATGTAATTTTCATCATTATAGTTGAGAATGAGCAAACTTCCTTCTTTTAAGTTGTCAATTTTTATAGTTGTGATTTCTTTGGCATCAACTTGAATCTTGTGAGTGATCCATGAATTATTAACGAATTAACCAATAGTAATGGCATGCTTTCTTAAATGTGAACCACTTTATTTGATGATTATCTAGTTATTTTAAGTAGTATATGAAAGAACATTAAATCCAGATGTCATAATCCATTCTTACTTAAATTCTTCCCAATTCACATTTTTATTAATGCTCATAGATTCAAAGAAGTCGCTTAATTTTGTGTTTCCATATGCATGTTTCTGGAAGTATAGACCCATTGCCTTTGAAAATCCTTCTCTTCCCATTGTAAAATAAATCTATTTGATCAAAGCAGCTCCCTTGGCATATGTAATACCATCAAATATATTTTCAGCCTAATCTGTATTGTCTATCTAACAATAGATAGGATGAGTGGTTGACTTCTCATCTGTTACATAACCCCATAGTTTTCTTTCCAAAAATTATACCCAATAATTTACTTATTCTCCTTAGCACACATTATCTTAACATAAATGTGAAATGAATTCAGCAAAGCTCTCATTCAACCAAAGATCATCCCACCATTCCATTGTTACTAAATCGCCAAACCACATATGAGATAATTCATGTATTATTGTATTAGCTCTGGAAGCCACTTGAGATTTGGGCACAGGTTCTTTGAAAACATATAAATCATTTATAGTGACTGCTCCTGCATTCTCCATGGCTCCAGTTGAATACTCAGGACAAAAGATTTGATCATACTTTCCAAAAGGATATTTGTATTAAAATAGTTCATCGAAAAACTTCATACTGTCTGAAGTCACTTTAAAAATAGAATATGCATCATTCATAACAAACTTTAAAAGGGATTTTCTGCAATATAAACTTTGTGGAATTTAATTATGTAACAATTCTTCAGGTGCTTTGATCTCCACATAAGGTCCTGCTAAAATTGCATATAAATAGGTAGATAGAGGCTTTGTCTAATCAAATTCCCATATTTTATATTGTTAATCAAAAGGAAAATACCCTTTGTCTTAAACAAATTAAGGTACTCTGGGATTTTCTAGATATCTCTCATTGCTAATGACTTTCCATTCTTTGGGCGCATAGGCAAAAAGTTTAAATGTTCCCTTCAAATCAGGTTAATCAAAACAAGGAAACATTTTGGATGCATGATGAGGCTCACATTATGAATACACATATTGATCTTCGTTGTCCATAAAACTGTGCAATCCATGCCCTGTTGTTGAGTACTGATTCTGGAAGTAGACTATATATTGATATCATTATTATACCTTCTATTCTATTTTAATCCTTTCTCAAACCTTACTCTATCCATAATTTATTTCCATCTTGCTTAATATTTTAGAGTGTTTAATTATTAACAATCAATGACGATATATCTTAACCCTAGCAGTCAAGAAATAATGACTTTGGCTCTTTCAATTAGAAATTCATCTAAGCTATTCCTCTGTACTTTTATCCTTTTAATAGCTCGATGTACATTGTAGTTTCAATTGGAGAGTTTGAGAATAATGATTTTCTCAGCTTAGCTTCAGAATGTGTTAAGGAATACCTCACTTTATTTCTGAATTACTATTATTATTGCAGTATTCTAATCATAATTAAATTTATTAAACAAAAAAATTATAAGTTCAACTTAAATGCTAATTCATATCATGTTCTTAAAATTCCAAAAATTTAAGAATCTATTTGTGAGATTAATTTGCTTAGAATATATATGTATATTATAAAATATTATTATATAAATCAGGGATGTGATCCAATATCTTTAAACATTTATGCAGCCATATCTGCTAGCTAGTTTTTTCTATTCAAATTAGCTCTTACAATATCTTCTAAGGATATAACTTATTTTTCTGCTAGTTCCTTCTTGATATACATTAGATATGTTGATCTGCTCATTTCTGCAAATTTCGGCATAAATTTTAAATATGTTCTCTCATCATCATCAACGTATTATTTGGATCCCCCTTTCTATTTAAAAAGCATCTTCTTCAACTCTTTGTTTTCAATATCCATCTTCCTTTCAACTGCATCAACTATCATTCCAATAACTTAATGAGACTTTTTCTATTATTTTTCAACCTGATCTTTTATAACCTTCTTTGCTTTCTATAGCTTTTCTTATTATAATATTAAGTCTGTTCCTTAAGCATCCATCGAAATCACAGTTTAACTTATTTAAGGACTTTCCTTAACACTTTTAACTTCCTTTTGTCTCTTTAGTATGGTTTTAGGCAAGCTTGTTTATGAATTTGATTTTTGTTAACTCAAGGAAACTTAGACTAAATTCTTTGGATCATCTGCCACAACTTGAGATTGGTGTAATTAAGAGGGTTAAAGAGAGACTTATTATGTTTATTATTTATCTCCTTATTGTACAACTATTTTTACACTCTTCTTTTATTTTACATGCTGTTATTATTGGCTCTGATTGTCTGGAACATCTAAAGATATTTCTTTTTCTAAAGCTGATTTGAGTTTTAAGATTCTTTCCTTTTCTCTCATTTCTCTTAATTAATTGGCAAAGAATTTAGCTAATCCTAATGATTCCCTATGTTTATAGATCAAATCTTTAAGTTTCTTCTTTTTGCTTTTTTCTAATACCTTTTTTAAATAATTAGTTTCTTCTGGATCCTTTAAATCGATATTCACATTAGTTTGAACTATTTTTTTACCAGCAACCATTTTATCAATCTTTCTTCTTTTTAAGTCCCTGAGATCCTTTTCTGCAGTAATTTTACCATCTATAATGTGAGCAAGATCTTTAACTTTGGTATCAATCTCAACCTTTACAGGAGGTGTCTTAAAAGATTCCTTATAAAACATAATTTCTTCTTTGGCTTTAAGATTCAACATCCTTTTTCCAAACTAAAACTCCTTTTTATCAAAGTCTTCCTTCTTTCTCAAAGTGAATAATTGCCCTAATATACTAAAATACACAATTATTTTACTCATTATAATCTCTGATCTCATTGGATTGAATCTTTCCATTGACCATTTTGTTAACATATACATCTAAATCCTACTTGTGATGTTCATCTCTATCTGGATGTTCTCTATACTCTAGATTTTCCAATTGTCTTTTTAGCAAAGCTCCAGTATTGCTTACATTCTTCTCCTCTTATACTTTTGGTTTCTGATATTCATTAAAATATTGAGTAGTTGTCAATATCCTTGACTTATAATCTTAGGGTCTTTCGAGACCAATTTTGATTAAGCCCACAGACTTACCCTTCTATCTGTTGGGCTTAACTATTTTTCTATTATTTGGCTTTCTGGAAGTTGATAATGGTCTTTTTTCATCAAACAACTTTGACTCGAATTATAAGTTGTCCATGGATGGAGCAAAGAAACTGCCCTCAAAAAAGCTATCCTTACTATTAGAGTCACTATCAAATATATTGATCGAAGCATCAGTGCCATGAGGTTATGATTATTCAACTATTTTATTATCAAATTATTGTTTTTTTTTCTATTCTTCCTTTACCTAAGTTTTAAAATGCAACTATTCGTTCAATGATTTGATTTAGAAGAGATTAAACATGTCACTGTTGAATTTCTTTAGATAATCAGATTCTGATTGTTCTCTCTAATCTCTTTAATTCTTTCTGATCTTATGCAATTCTGAATCCAAAATAGACTCAGCTATGTAACTCAAATCTGCCAAATCCTTTAGGTTCTGTTCCAATTTATGTTTGCCTTCGCTTGCCAATTTAATAATGTATTTTTTGAATTCATCAATTCCTTGAATGTATTTATCAGCCAACCAACTGGCCGTAGTTAAGGTTTCAACAATCCTATGATAATTATTTTCTGCCTCATAATTACACATCATAATGATTAATGCTGACAATGTTGTTATCACACATCTTTTCATTCTTCTTCTCTCCCTATTTTGGGATAAGTAACACTTATATACCTCTATTTATTTTTCTTCTATACGAATTTTTCCTGATTTATCCTGATTCTCATCTCCCCGCATAAGATCACTATGGCTTCCTCTGCAACTCTTAATGACTCCTTATATTCACTTATTTCGTACAAATAATTGGCCAAATACATCTTTACCCTTGCACACGCATTCACTAAATTAGGATTGGGAGTGTCAATAATTTGTTTGGCAATTCTTTAAGCTTCCACCAAATAATAATAGGCCACTTTTGGTTTGTTTGCTTTCTTGAAAATTAAATTGGCCATTAATTGAAGTTCAATCAAATTATAAAAGTACTGATCCAACTCAAATTGAATATTCAAAGGTTTGACAGTTTTTACAATCATATTTGCAATTCGACTGGTTTCTGAAATCTCCTGTTCGTAAGGGTTCATCAATTCCTTAACTTATTTTTTAGTTCTCTCCTTCTTGGGCTTATCGTATTCATTGATCTTATAAAAGAGTACTGTAACTTCGTGTTCCTTTATTCTCTCTTCGCCTTCCTCATCAGAGCTTGTCAAATGAGACACTTCCTCCAAACTAATTAGCTATTTAATTGCCTTACACAACTCCCTTCATCTCATTCGGTATAACTTTTTAAATATACAGATTAATGTATTTGTATAACTCAAAAATAGCTTGGCTTCCCCTATGAAATTTCTGGAGCATAATCTCTGGTCTGTCTTGTTCGATGTCAGGCTTAAGCAATCCTTACTTGAGAATTTTGTTAATGCAATTAATCATTCTGCGATTCAACATAACCATTTCTCCTAATTCTAGGTCTTTTCGTTGATTGTAAAATTTTTCTAAAAGCTAGAATGCACGCTTATAGAGTTTCTAATCACGTATATTTATATCGAATTTACTTTCTAAATCATCTTCCCAGTCTCCCTATGAATGTAATCATAGCTGCCCTACAATAGACTTTTTAATTTACTCTCCTCCTTATTTTGTTGTTATTGCTATTGTTAATGTGAAGTGTTAACAGAAGAAGTTTCTTTTTGCATTTATTAATTTAATTATAAAAATGGAGACAGATGTAATAGATTTAGGGAAAAATTTCTTCGGCAATCCAGCTCTACTTGTTTAGCAATCGTTTGTGGACCTAAAGTTGAGACAAACCAACAACGCAACTTTAATTTTCTACCAAAGTAATTCAATAGCAAAGGCTAATAGAATTTCCCCCTGTACAATTCTAGATTTTAGACGGTTTTATTCTACCAGAAATCAAATTGGGTAAGATTCATCATCAATTCTTGAAACCGAGCCAACATGTCATTCCTTATACCATTGATTTTCATTTGGAAAATTAGGACCCCAAGGATCTCTTCTAATTATTTTTATCATTTTTATACACAGGAAGAGTGATATACCAGGCGAAGGTGCACTACTTACCCTTACTCAAATTAGCCATCTACTTTTAATGTGACATTCTCATCCAATGTTTACTCAATTAACCAAAGCAATCAGGTATAATTAGGAATTTTTTTCTAAAATTTCTATGTGATATTTTTAATGACTAAACTTACACTTAAACCTTACTCTCTCATTAAAAAGCATAAAGTTTCTTAGAGAGAATGATTATAGATACTTCCCCTATCATTATAAAACACACAGAATTGCATAATCATAATAAAAAGGAAGCTCAAGATTAGATTATAAATTGTACCATTATCAAATATTTTTAGCCTTTAAACAAGTAAGTCCACAGCTATTCAATGTGATGGCAGACGTTTTGAAGGCCAATTCTTAAAAAATCATTTACCTTAGTGCATTGCTATTCTTTTTGGACAAGTATGAAAATCCTTGGATCAAAACGATGGAAGGGATTTACCTGGGAAAAGTGTACGAATTAGTAGATGAAGAGTTCTACAATTATCACGAAGAGTGGTTAACTGAAAGATGCAAATTAGTATTCAGAACGTAAATAGACAATACATAAAATCAACCTTATCATATGCAACACACAGTAGTTTGTGATTTTGTGTACTTCTTATATAACTATTTATTAGGAATAAATCATTTGTGGCTACTTGTTCTCATCTGACATGTTTGAATTGCTTCTACTAATATTTGAAACACCGATCACAATTCAAATTTTCTTGTAAGGAAATGCCTATAAAAACCAGATGTTTGTCGAGACATCTTAATAAAAACATATGTGACTGCGTTTATTAAGATCAAGATTACTTACAATTACAAAAATATGAAATTAATGAATTATTAAATTTATACCTTTAAGAAAAAATCTGATATAATAATAATAGTTATTAAATTTATTCTAAATTTATCACTCATATCTGCAAAAATGCTCAATGAGGTCTGATATATCTTCAAAATCTGCTCCTAATTTAAGAAAATACTCCTTGGACTTCTCACTCATAATTTCGATCACTTTTTCAGATTATTTGAGTGCATGATCATGCAATTATTGTAATGAAGTCGTTTCTTTAGATTTCTAATGCATAAAATAAATTGGTAATCTGTAAATTAATAACATTTAATACGCTATTTTATCCTAATAAAAATTGCACTCGTTGTTATTCACTACAGCCTTTAATAATGTATTTGACATGGTTGGTAGATTCCTTACAAAGTACTTCATCTGATTCTAAAAATCAATACACAACCCTAAATATACGCCTGCTTTAAAAGCATCGTTCAATTTATTCAAATCTCCATTCTATACCCAATATGTCAAACTTGCTTTAATAGTACTCATACATTGTTGTAAATGCAAATTTACTGGCACATTGATGATAAGCCAATTGATACACTTCTTCAGGCACTATGCTATTTGCTCCATTTTCCTTTATCTTCTAAAACAGATCATACTCATAGAACACTCCTTTGGCTGCCTCTTCTTCCAACATTGATAAAAAGAGTGGGACCTCAACTTGTTACATGATATTTGCACTTAAGACTGATCTATTTTGAAATTAGGCATGTCAATACGCTTTTGAATGAAAGAAATCTCCTCCTAAAACCAATTTCTTATCTGATAATTTATTGTAGATAATTCTTTCTAAACTGAAGATAGAGGGCTTCTATGCGTGGTAGCCTAAAATGTTGGAAATTCTAATTCATTACGATCTACCATCATGTGTAAACTAAGCGCTATTTGTATGTTCTCTAAACAGGCTGCCAATTTCAATGTTTACTCAGATAAAGCTGATTTTCTTAAACTCTTGGATATTTAAAACACTGTCTTAGGTAATGCAAATCTCATTGGGTACCTGTACATTCGATAAAAAATTGATAAGTTTTTAGGACTTGATGGTATCTGAGTAGTATATATTTGTTTACATTTTTCATTATTCTTTATTATGTTTCTGATATGAATTTTGGATCTATTTGTAAGGAATTACTTTGCAAAACTTCATATTTAAATATTCATACATTAAGGAATGGGAAATTTGTAAAGAGTGTGCTTGGACTAAAACAAAGTAAAATTATAATATTACATATTTTCCTACAATCTTAACTGTCTCCACCATCTCTTCAATATTAATCTCAATATCAAAAGGCCTCAGAATTTTTATTATGTTATCGATCTGGATGAGTGGCTTCTGTCTTTAGAATAAATCTTTGTTAAAAGAGCAAAATCTAAAGGCAGATCTAAATAGCATAATTAATTTATATTAATCTCTTTCATAATTTTATAGCATAAATAAATTCTCAAATCTATGATATTTATATCTTCAATTTGTCAACTTATGACTGGACCACAATTAATTTCATGGCTTCCGATTTCATATTCCTAAACAATTCTGAATAAATGACATACTATTAAATAAATCCTTTAAATATATCAAAAAGATACATCCAAAAATAAAAGATTAAGGCTAAACAATAATAAAGTTGCTTAATAGTTCTTTTAATTATTCTATTTTATACTTTTCCATTACTTAAACTAACTACATTGCAACAACCTAAAGAAATCATCTGCTTTTTCTTTGTGAACACTAAAGGACTTTTTTCTTCATTAAGAATATTAGTAAAAAATAAAAGCTTTGTCGAATGCAAAACAATCAGAAATCAAATTTAACTATTTCAAATTTCAGATATTCGATAAATTATTAAATTAGTCGTTTGATCTGATGAAAATTTATTGAAATTTTTATTTCCTCAAATAAGATTTCTTAATTAGCTTAATGTACATTGTTTATTTAATCTTTTCCTAAAATATTGTAATATTGTTTCAGAGATTGACAACATAATTACACTATTTCTCTTCCTTGAGACATAGAAACTTCATTTACAAGGGTTCTGCAATTGTTTTCTAAATTTTACCCTAAAATAAAAAAAAACAGCTTAGAGGTTGATAGAATATTTCAAGAAAATAAAAATAAAATCAGATTAAATTATTTGAAAAGTAAAAATGCTAATCAAAATTTATAAATAATCTGAAAGGAAAACTTTAGCAAAGAAAATACAACTATTCAATTTAATTTATATCAAAGAATTAAGATCAATAATCTTGTGTCAAATGTTCTCTAAACTATTTAACAGAATAATAAATTGAATAATCAAGTTCCTACTACCTTTTTTAATTTAACAAAGCAAATATGAAGAGTATAAATTCAAAAATTGCTTAGTTACTAAATCGAATTATTATAAATAATCATAGTAAATTTATTGTTCAAAGAATCATATCAATAATATCAATCTCAATTTCTTTTTGTAATACATACAAACATCAAGCATTTCCTAAATATTATTTCATTAATGAAATACTTTGTTTGCTACGGTTTTAGTTACAACGTAAAATGAGTGTAAAATTACTAGCCACCATGAAGAATCACTCACAATTACCATTACTACACTTAAAGGAACTAGCAACAACTCATATTTGCATCTAAAATCGAAAAAAAATTCTTTAGTAAATTATATTGTAAAAACAAAGTTTCTGCATACTATAAAATATCAAAATTTCTTACCATCATACATAAATCCTCCTCGTAAATTAATGTATTCTGTAATGCCAACTACATAATGTATTACAATTGGTAGATGATACATGAAATTGTTGGTACATTTAAAAAGACTAATATTCATTAAATAGAGTATATTCATTGTAAAATCAGTGTGCATGGATTTTCGTCTAATCAGCCCTAAAACTGAGCTTATTATTCCAATATAACAGCCATTAAATTAAAAGGATACTAAAACAACATAAAACAGTTTTATGTAATTCTCAATAGAATAAAGATGCCTTTTAAGTGGAGGTTCACTGTTTAGTGAATATGATTGTTTTTCATATGATTAATACATAAATTATATTATTGGTATATATCAATCAAATAAAATAATAATATTTTTGCATTGGAAAGCAAAGTTATCAAAAGTTTGATGCTAGCGCATAAAATTAGATACAATCCTCCTAATAAATGCCCTCTTAATTGTACTTTACTGGCTATGTATTCTGAAAGGGAATTAACTAAATAAATACGTAGATTTCACATCATCAATAATGAGACCAAAGTATTTAATATATATAATGGTTGATGAATATTCTAAAAATACAATCTATATTAATTATAAAACAATATAAATTTCATGAAGATTAAGAGATAAATACATAAAAAGAGTAAGAAAGTTAACAAAACAATTTACAAAATATTCCTCCTAGTATGTATTACTTATTTGATTATATCAGACGCAAGTATATAAAAGAATAATGGTAATGATTATCTTTTATTTTATGCTATATTTTATTAAATTATATTTCATTTTGTTGTTTCAGCTGCAACTCTTTTAGCTTCTTCAATGACATCCTCAAATGTACCTTACATATAGAATGCATTTTCTGGATACTCATCACCTTCACCATCAAGCAATGCTAAATTAAATAGAGAGATTTAAATACCTCTGAATCCAGCAATAGTGTCATTAAGTGAAACGAATTTACCCTTTCTTCCTGAGAAGACTTCAGACATGAAGAATGGTTAAGAAAGGAATCTTTATACTTTTCTAGCTCTGGCAACTGTAAGTTTATCGTCTTCAGACAATTCATCCATACCCAAAATAGCAATGATATCTTGGAGTGATTTGTAATCTTACAACAATTTTTAAACTCCTCTTGTGACTGTATAATGTCTAAATTATAATATATGTAGAATATTACTTTTCACCAACAATATTTGGGTCCATCATACGTGATGAAGAATCCAATGGATCGACAGCTGGATAGATACCTAATTCAGTCAATGCTCTTGACAACACAGTGGTGGCATCCAAGTGAGCAAATGTTGTAGC